CGTGGGCTTCCAGGGCGCGACCGCCGACTCACTATATAATCAAAAAGAACGGGCGTTTCTCGACGCCAACGACCTTTCCAAGTGAGCCCCTTGTCTTGATTATTACATCTTGCCCTCTCAATACCAGGGGAAATTATCATATGGCTTAATTGTCCATTGCTCACACATCGCACAGAGGTCGTTACTTCGACGAAGCCACTTTACCATCGCCCACCCACGCGCGCGCGCGTTCTCCAGAAAGAAAAGCTGTCGCGTCCGCAGTAGTCACCGAAGCAAAAGCACAATCGGTCACTGGTATCACGCCGCCACCGACAGTCGACGGCCACGTTCCCTCGATCCCGACCGGATCTAGCCGACAAGGACCAGCGGACGCGATCCAGTCTGACACTGCAACCACACCAGCTGTCGCATCGACTTTAGAGAACGCTACACGACCAACCGACAATACCGGACCGGCAGCTCCACCAAAGATTTCTCAACAGGTCGAAGGAACTGCCCCGGCAGCGCTGTCCCCGACCATCGGCTTCGACCTTAAGACGAGCGCATCCGCGCTTGAAACTCCTCTAAGTTCCCAGGATCACGATGGAGCAGAGGTCAAAGTCTCTTCAGGTGCAGCGAAACCTGCAGCGAAAAGCGCGACACCGTCTCTCGAAATTCCTCCCAACACCCATACCCGAAAGAAGCCCGATTCACGACCATCTCTCCCCCTAGGCTCATCTCTTCCCGAACAACCCCTCTCTCCTGCGTCCTCTATCGACCCATATTCTAATAATACTCCCGTTCCTACGGCTGGCTCGCCAGTCACAAGCCCGGGAGAGGAGATATCTGATGCCGGAAAGATTGGTCGCCCGAGCCCGAAACACAACCGCAAAATGTCTCGCGCGGCCATGGTTCCATCAACACCGGATGAGCAGCTACGAATGGAGGAAGCCCAATCAATCCAGCAGAGCTCAGCAGACGCTGTCAATGATGTCAATGGGCCGTTGTCAAACGAGGTTATTAAAGAAAACGTTGAAGCTACAGACGAGAAGGATAGGATGGAGATTGATGAAGACACAAGCACTGAGGTTCCTGAACCTCAACCAGCCCTTTCAGATGAGAAACCTCCGGTCTCTGGGGATGCCCTCTCACCAAGTGAGCGTCTCCCTGAAGGAACCCAGGTTTCTGAAGATGCGGTTGGAATATCCTCCACCAAGAAACCGGTATCAATCCCACCAACGCAACCCGATCAAGTCCAACCAGAGCGTATGACAACACGGGTTTCCTCCGGAGCCATCCGCCATAAGTCCGTTTCCGAGATTCTTGGCGAGGCATCCAGAAGCTATACACACGACAAGAGCAATGCCACAAGCGATCATGCCTCCCCCGACAGTGTCGCGCGCATGCGGTTCAAGGACCGCAAAGAGAGGGAAAAGGAGAGAACTAGAGTATCCACTGTCGTTTTCCCAAAACAGACTCCATCTCAACAAGACAAGACCGATTCACTGGACCTCGCTCATTCGGAATCTGGAGATGTGGTCGCCAAACTCAACGAGGAGCAGGACTATCTTTTTACTCTCTTTTTGAACAGGGCATATGCGCCTCCTCGAGGATCAAATCTTAACACTCTTCTAGCATCTGCTCACAAGACATTGAGCACCTCAAACCATCTTCTTGAGTACCAGGAGCAAATGGACTGTCGGACTTTACGCCGTATCTACGGACTTCAAAACGCCAATCGATGGCCTTTGCGGCAGATGAAGCGATCTCAGGAGCCTCCTCGACAGGGCACCCATCTGGACGTCCTTTTGGATCATATGAAATGGATGCGTACGGATTTCCGCGAGGAACGCAAGTGGAAACTAGCAGCGGCGAAAGGTTGCGCTGACTGGTGCGCGGAATATGTGAACAGCGATGATGAACACCGGGCTCTGCTCCGCGTAAACGCAAAGATACCTTCACCTTCATCAGCACCGGAAGATGCTTCCAAAGCAGGCATGGTTTCTCCTTCAGAAGATGCAGGCGATGAAGCCCTGGATGCATCACACCCTACCCCAGACCTAGTTCCATCCGCCGAAGAAGAGTCGGTTAGCGATGGCTTCAATGATGAGCCAAGGCATGACATCCACGACACCGTTGCCCCCGCAGCTATATTCTCCCTCGGATCTGACGAATTCAATTTCTCCCTTGAAATGAACCCTGTCGCCGAGAAGTTATTGGACGAGCTTCCGCTTTATGAGCCACTGAGGATTGGCCCAGAGATGCAGTTGCCAGATTTCAAGCAGCCACCCGATTCAACTTGGAAAACGGAGATTCTTCCCGTATCGAAGTTCGCTTCGACCAAGATCAAGTTCCATGATGACCAAGGCCCCCGCAAACGCAGCCGCTACGATTATACTCAGTATGCCTCTAATCTGGAAACTCGTTTCGTGGAGCTGCCACCAGAACAGGACAATGTTGCCCTCTTTCGCCCCGAGAACAAACATATCCGTGACCGTATTCATCCTGGCCATTCGTTCCGTCCTCCCACAGAACATCCGATGCCATCGGTTGGATTTTTCGAATCACGACACTCTTCGCAATGGACAGTATCCGAAGACGATGAACTTCGCCGCCTGGTCAAGGAGTATTCTTACAATTGGTCGCTCATTTCAAGTTGCTTGACTCCTCCATCATTGTTCACGTCTGGGGCCGAGAGACGAACACCGTGGGAGTGCTTCGAACGATGGGTAGGACTGGAAGGTCTACCAGCGGACATGTCGAAGACTCAATACTTCCGGGCCTACCATCAGCGACTAGAATCGGCCCAACGAACAGTTCTTGCGCAGCAACAGGCTGCTCAGCAGCAACAGCAGCAGCAACAGCAGCAACAAGCTAATAATGGGCAGGTGCAGCAGCCCATTCGCCGTCGGACAACCCAGCCTCTACGGGTGGATCGGAGAAGATCTTCTCGACATCTCGCGTTGCTGGATGGTATGCGTAAATTGGCAAAGAAACGCGAGACAATGTTGCAAAAGCAGCAACATGCTTCTCATCTTGCCTCGCTCAGAAAAGCAAATGAAGCAAACCAGCCAAAGCCTCCCATCTCCTCGCCAGCTGAATTTAGTCGTCTTAAGTATGACCGTGAGATGAAGCTACAGGAACGACAGGAGCACTATCGACAGCAGATGATCGCCCAGCAACGAGCAAGCCTCGTGGCTCAACGCAGCGGACAAGTACCGAACCAACAGCAGCAGCAACAGCTCCAGCAGCAAACGCAGCAAACGCAGCAGCAGATGATGAACGGTCAAGGCCGATCGCCAAATAACATGCCACCTAATGCTGGAAATGCCGGGATGGTCAATGGCGCTCCGAACGGAGCGTCCACTGGGATGGCGCCTGGCGTTGGGGTTAACCAAGCTCGCACACAGCCGATGCAGGGGATGCCGAATGGGGCAACGCCAGTGAATGGTCAAATCCCAGCCAACCCCATGGCGATGAAGATGATGCCACAGAATCAGATGCAGCAGCCAGTCGGCTCGAGACCTGGAATACCCATGCAGGCGTCTCCTGATAACGCCCGGGTAATCCGCGAAGCGAACCGGCTCCAGGAGCAACAGCGCCTTCTGCAGTCTCGTCAGCAACAACCAGTTCCCCACCAGCCAGGCCAGCCTCAACAAGCGCAACAGCAATTCCATAATCAGCAGTTCGCACCGCAGGGCTCCCACTCACCTAATCTGACTATGCCGAATGTGAACGGCACCCCGAACAACCCTGCAATGATGGCCGCTATGCAAGCCCAGGGCGGAATGCAGAGCCCATCTTTCCACGGCGGCACACCGCAGGGTGTGTCCACCCCTTCGCCGCGCATGGGTCAACCGAATGGACTGTCCAGTGGCGTCGTTCCAACCATCAGTACCTTCCAGAGTCAAATCCAGCGTGCCAACCCCAATCTCCCGGCAGAGCAAGTGAACAAGCTGGCTACCGACCGACTCAACCAGTATCAACAGCAACGTATGTCGCAGCAAGCGGCTATGAACGCAGCGGCAGGTGGTATGAACAATGTCCAGAACAATTATCCGGTTCCGCACGATGGTAACTTCCAAACGCCTCAGCAGCCCGGCGTGCCTAATGGCAACCCTGCCATGCAGGTCCCTCAAAACCAAGGATTTTCTCCAATGATGAGAGTCCCGCAGGCCAACCAGCAAAACCGAGTCAATGTCACCAGCTCCCCGGCCATGAACGGAGCTGTTCCCCAGACGAGCCGGAGTGCAACACCCCAAACCCAGCGCAGCGGCAGCGCACAAGCCGGAGCGGTGCAGGGCTCCAGCAAGAGCCCCCACCCCCCAGCAGCCCAGACAGCGAGCAGCTAAGAGGGTATATTTATTTTCCCACTCTTTATCCTCCTGTCACCACCTCTACCTACCTCTACCCCCTTCTACCCCCTTCTTCCTTTTCAATTGTAAATACCTTTTGAACGTACCCGTCTTATCTTGATTTATTGCCTCTGTTTTAAGGTGCGCTGGTGGACAAGGATGGCGGCGCCTCTGATCTTTTTTTTCTTTCTATTTTACACCCTCTCTTCCTCCGATGCCCTCACATTTCGATTTTTTTTTCCTTTCCTTTTCACCGCATGCGTTGTCCTCTTGCCTCTCACGTCCGAACCCTCACCGTGTTCATTAATCTAATGGACCAGATAGAGCGCTGGCTCCAATATTACCAGCGCTGGATATCTGGATTTGGGCATGTATTATCCATGGGATGGCGAAAAACTCTGGGTCGGTTTTATAACCCAGGAATTGACGAACATGAATTGTATGATTAGTTTCGAGTCTTTCCACTTCCATTTCTACTACGTAGTACTAGATAGTAGAGACTGAGCATGTGGTAGCATGGTACCATACTATCCTACCCAAATTGGACTGAGTAGGCAGAAAGCCTAGCCTCGCCACCGCCCCGCCGCGGAGCTTCAACAATCTTGAATCTTTAATCTCCAGCTTCCTTCAATATCCACACCTATTTGAAATTCACTGTCTGCTACGATGCCGCCCCCGTCGCAGGCCCCTAGCGACCGCAATCACGGCAGTTCAAAGCCCTTCTCCCTCTCCTCCAGCTCGAAGGAGCCATCTGCAAAAACCACTTTTGGCTTCCAATCGACTCGCAGTCGTCCCGAGTCCTCAGCAAACAAGGCACGATCTCTCCCACGCCGCCCGCATAACCTCGGCCATGATGAATCCTCCGATGAAGATGAACAGCCCCCGGTCCACGAGGAAGTGTCTGGATTCGACACGCATACCGGCGGTGCTATCACCATCGACGGCCAAGCAGTTATTGATGAGAAGAAGCCGCTCGTCATTCCCGTCACAAGCCAGAATAACTGGCGTGATCGGCCTGGTGTCAATACGAAGAAAGGAAAAAAGAATCTGCTTCCCCGCGAGGTTCAAGCTATGCAAGAAGCGCAGAAAAATGGACAAGCCTCTGCTGGAGGTGCCGTCGAGACGGAAGGACCGAGCATGGCGTTTGGCTTAAGCTTTGCCAAAGAATCTATAGAAAACGAGAACATTGTTCCCACTCCAGATACCGATCAGCCTATGCGGGACGCGAAGCCCGCTGAGGAAAGCAAGCCCCTCACGGATGACCAGCTTGCGCTCCAGGCTTTGATCAAGGAGAGCACAGGTGAGGTTGAGAGGAGGTCAGATCTCGTCATTGAAGCCTCGAAAGCGCGTGACTACGAGGAGGACGACACACTCGGCCGCTATGACGAGTCGAGCTCTTTCAAGACAGACGTGCAGTCGCGGCCCGAGCCCGCCACACTTGACCAATACAATGCCATCCCCGTCGAGGAATTCGGCGCGGCGCTTCTTCGAGGTATGGGGTGGAAAGATGGCCAGACTATTGGAAAAGGCAACTATGGCTCTTCTGAAAATGCAAAGAAAGCCAACGAGCCTCGTGTCCCGCCGCGCCGCGCCGGGTTTCTAGGTATTGGTGCGAAGGATTCTGGGAAGGGCGCAGAGGTTGAATTTGGCGCATGGGGCAAATCGGCAATGCGCAAGGCATCACGGAAACAAGGCGAAGAGAATGCAGATGGTCAAACCGAGGGTGTTTATATGCCTGTCACCATGCGGAATAAGAACACTGGAGAGTATATCACGGAGGAGGAACTCGCAAATAAGAAGAAGGAGGCCAAGTCCATGCCCGACGCAGATGATTGGAAAGAACGACGAGATCGGAACTTAGAGAAGAGTGGGCGTGATAGAGATCGGGACTATCGCAGAAGGGACTATGACGACGAGCGTTCCGATCGGATGTCCGGGTCCTCGTCCTCGCGTCGTGATCGCAGCCGCTCTGCTGGCCGCCATTCTTCCTCTCGACGCACCAGGTATGACGATGATGACCGCCGGAGAGATGATCGGTCTTCTCGCGATTCTGACCGGGATCGTCGACGGGCTCGCGATGATGATCGAGACCGAAAAGACCGAGACTCTGATCGAGACCGATCCCGCCGACACCGCAATGATGGATATAGCAGCCGCTCGTCTCATTCATCCCGACACGATCGTGACCGTGACCGCGATTCTCATCGGCGTCGCCGGGACGACTGATTTTATCCCAAGCGAACCAACCCCTTGTATATTACGAATTAGCTATATAGCATATGCAGCGAACTGAGAAGATGTTAAACACAGCCCTAGATAGAGATACCCTGGCCGTGTGCTATATGTGCTAGTTATATGGCACTGTTGGAAATTTAATTTTGAGAATAATGGACATGAAATTTGAATCTATATGAGAAAGTAGATGGCTTTTAGTATCCTATCCCACTCCCAAGGTAATCCCAAAAGCAAAGGCGCCATGAATATACACAAAATACAAGGCTTTTTAAGCCTCCAACATGATGACGTCCTTCTCATGCTCAGCTTCTCCCTCATCCAGACTCATCAGACCTCCAAGGCCAACGCCGCCGTCCATCTCGCCAAGAACCCACTCAACAAGGTAGCTGTCGTCAGTCAGCTCCTCGATACGCTTGTAGTGCCTCTCGGTGTAGAGCGCCAATGCCTGGAGGATATCCTTCATGCCCGCGGCAATGCCGCCATTCTTTCCGCGCACGGATTGCGTAGCGAGCTCCACAAACGTGGAGGCAGGGTATGAGCGGAACAGAGCGAAGAGAATACGCTGCGCAACCCGGGATGTACGGGCATTAGTGTTCCAGTCACGAAGACGGAGCAGCAGGGTCCGCAGATTTGTTGAATCCAAAGTCTGCAATACCTCGTCGATGGACGGGTTACCGGTCAAACTACCAGTAGCACGTTCCCTCTCCTCGTCTGAAAGGGTTGGACTGTCGGCCGCATCAATGGCAGAAGTGAATAGAGACAGCAGGCGGCCAGGGTGATTGAGTTGCAGAGCCAGGGTAATGGCCTCGCGGTACGCTCCAGCGCGAATGTAGTTCTGCAGTTGTTGGTCCTGCTCAATTCGCTCGGAGTTGGCGTTCACGGCAGCGGTGTAGGTGGCAGAGGTGGTGTCGGTCCAGCAGGTGACAGTAGCATCTGCAGAGCCAGAAACAAGGGCGTACGGGGTCGAGTTAATTTTGGAGGAAGTGGGTTTGGCGTTGGTGCGAGAGCCCGAGGGGTAAGGAGTGGCAAGTGCCCAGACTCGGTCTGTGTGGTTATCCAAGGTGCATTGCACCTCCTCAGTCCACACGTCCCAGATCTTCACAAGCCCATCGGCACCGGCCGATGCGACCAGGGGCCGTGTTTGGACATTTTCCTTGTGAGCAGAAGCTTCTTCGTCCTCATCCTCGTCTTCAACCTGTGGCTTGGAGACTTGTGGGGGCGGGAGCCAAATGACCTTCAATACGGAGTTTGAGTGAGACTCCAAGGTCAGGAGGCAGCTGTAATCCGCCAAGTTCCAAATCTTAACGGTTTTGTCACCGCTACCGGTAGCGATGATACCCTTATTTGTGCTGGTGCCTGCATCGGTGTTGATGACCGGAGTGTTCTTTGGGCAGAAACGCACTCCCCAAACACCACGCTTGTGCCCACGCAGGATACCGATTGCTGATCCCTCATCTGCGTCGAAAATCTTGACGGTACGATCCTGGGAGGCCGAGGCGAAGAGAGTAGAGGTGGAGTCGACATCAATACAGTTAATGTCTTTCTCGTGGGCCTTTCTGGTATAGATTGCCTTGGGACTGTGAGGTGTGTCATCCTTGAGGGGAGTCAGTTTTCCGAGGTCCCATCGCTTGATAGTCTTATCTTGTGAGCCAGTGATGAGGAAGGCCGGCGGGTGGTTAACCGGGTCGTTGTATGCGGCGCTCTCAACCGGCGGTGGAGCACGTGGGAATGCAATGGCACCCAGAGATTCAGCGTGACCAGTGAGGATCGCGAAGCAGGTATATGACGAGTTCTTAGGATCGAGACGGAAAAGTCGGGCAGTGTTATCTTTGCCGGCAGTCACAAGCCAGTGTCCGGACCAATCCACGTCCATAGCAATGATGATATCCTCATGTCCCTCCAGATAAGCGATATCAGCACCGAAGAAAGCATCACCGTCGGCCGAAGGTCGGTCAGCAGAAGGTGCCACAGAGACAATGCGGATACTCTCGGTGTTAGTAGCCAGTGCAAGCATTGATCGATCGGGGCCAACAAAAGCACAATCAATGATTTCGTCGTCATTGCCAGAGATACGTCGAATTATGGTCAATGGCTCCAGGGTTGATCCTGGTTTGTAGCTTATCAAAGATTCAAGGGAATGGAGACGAATCGTCTGATCTGCATGCACAGTCATGGCAAAAGACATGCCCGGAGAGTACTGAATAGCAACAACAGACTCAAAATCCTCGCCCGCCTCTTGCTCTTCTGTGATTTCACTGCCGCGGTTGACATCGAAAGCCCTCAGCTTGCCATTCTCACCACCCACCACACACACACCACTGTCTGCGATGAAAGCGGCGGCCTCGACAGATTCCAGTACGGGAATGATTCGGCGTTGCTTGTAAGTGCGAGCATCGTGGATGATAACTGTCTTGTCACGGGAAGCCGAGAGCAAGGCGTTTTCGGTCGCAGAAAAAGACAAGCTTCTCACCAGAGAAACGTGAGAGTCGAGCGAGGCAACGGCCTTCTTCTTGTGAAGATCAAAGACGCGGACGCGGCCCTCCTCACTACCGGAAGCCAGTCGGAAACCAACTGCTGAGTCGATATCTTCCATATCTTCGTCATCGCCAGATGCAGCCTTCTTGGACTTCTTGGAGGACTTGGCATTGCTATCGGAGACCTCAACCTCGAAGAAGCAGAGGGCCGAAATCACGCCACGGTCGTTGAAAGTATGCGTGACATATCCACCCTTGATATCATGGACCTTTATGGATCCATCTGCAGCACCGGTTGCTAGCAAAGTACCGGTGCGGTCAATTGCGGTTGTTACGACAGGCGAAGTGTGGGGTTTGAGGGTGCGGGCAAGTTTTGCCTCGATGACCTGGGTCTTTTTCTCATCAAAGTCGAAGGGGGAAAGTGAATAAATGCGCATAGTCATTGAGCGCGAGCAGACGATCGCATGCGACGCAGAGGGCGTGACTAGAGGAATTATCAGCATCTCAAAACTTTAGAAGCATCTCGAAGTAAACGTACTGGCTAGACTGGTGATAATCTCGCCATCCTGTTGTAAAAAGGTTAGTAAGAGTGTTCCACGAGTAGAATCGGACACATTTAACTCACTCCTTCCAAACTGGCGAGCTGGTCGCCGGTTTCAAGGTCAACGATGTTCGCATCTTCACCGACGCAGCTGAGCAAGATGCGGCCACTGGCATCAAGCGCGGTACTTCCACCGGTATAGATGGGTTGGAGGGTCTTCGAAGCCTCGAAAGTGGTCTTCACAATTGCTTTCGACATGGTGTATATCACCGGCCCTTGCACTCCGCCCACTTTGAAGGTCGGAGAATGCGAAAAGCTTGGGGCGACTTTTTTTTGGTGTTTGCACATTTTGCACCTTCCCCGATAAGATAAGCATCGCGGCACGTGGTCTCCCTTCCTTCCAGCTGTGAGTCCCATTCGAAACAACTCATCTTCTCTTTTCTATATTCAAGCTTTGTTCTTTTCTCTTCAATTTTCCAGAAGCAAGGATATAAGGTTTACAACTGACAAGCTCATTCTCCTCTTGGGAGATGAACACCCAGTCGGGCTCATCGCTATGGGCCGACAGGCATATTTGAACCGGCTCGCTTTGGTAAGCTCGACCTTTATGCTTTTACTTCATTGAATCCTTTTGTCATTCTTTCGTTTTTACTCCAGTATGGTGACATGTATGTATGTTGCTTCCTCTGGGTATTCTCATGCCCACAAGCCAACACAATCCATCCGTCTAAACCAGTTTCTACCAAGCCGCTGCCATCTCAGTATTTCAGTATAACTCTATTGTGATCAGCTTGTTAATATATAACAGGGTCGGTCGCCTTATGAGCCACCAGAGACTGCTACCGTTGACCCTTCCAGTCCCGTGCGGAGAGTTTCACATATTCATGCCGACAGCTATATGCAACAATATGACTCTCGCGGACATCCAGTGAATCCAGAGTCCAAGAGCCTCGGACGCGCACTTAGAAAAGCTAAAAATGATATTCTCTCTACAATGGGAATCGTTGTCAGTGGCGAAGACCGTAAGGCCAGTTCTTCCAATGAACAGCAGCGAATCAATCAGATAACGGCCGAGAATGACTTTGGCCTGGTGATTACCACCGCTGATCAACTTTTTGTCTTCTTTGGATCCTGGTGGACATCGTCTCTCACAGGAAGGATACAGGTAGGGATGTTCGTTATTCTCCGAAGACCAGACATATACTGACATTCGCATTACTATATCAAAGACATTCAGACATTACACACATGCTGCGCTGCTTGATGTCATACGATCTGAACGGGGCACCACGGGGATCTTAGGATTCTATTTTGCTGGGATTCCGGCGTGGGCGGTCTCGAGTGGATTGGCCATTGCTCGTGACAATCCCTGGAAGCGTACATGGACTGCGATTAGGGACTACGTTGTAGGCATCACAGGCAATGGCACCCTCTCGCTGGCTGTTCGTGCGGTGTCTATACTCACGTACTTCACGTAAGTATCTCCTGCCTGCGAGAACTAACCGACGAATTCTAACATCTCCCTTCAGTGCTAGAAGTTCACTTTTAGTTTTATCCGTTGAGGCTTACATGTACTCAACTCTCCAAACACTTTCCATTATCCCACCGAAAGCCATCCCGGGTTTTCGAGTACTCATCCCTTTTGGAGAGGAGTCTCTCATCAAACTTCCAGATCTCCCAACGGACTTCTCTGCCTCTGCTATAACCGGCTTCCTATTGCGCTTGCTAGCCTCGCCGGGGGTTCTAACATTCATCTATGCATTTTACTTGCGCCCGGCGCTAGAAGAACGTATATACCGTCTGATCCGCCGCCAGGTACCAAAGCCGATACTCGCAGATGAGTTGTCAATCAGGGTTGCCTTCGAAGAGAATCTGGTCGAATGGGTGGTGCCAACCCTAGGACGGCGTGCGGACGAAGAGACTCGCCGTGCTAAACTCACGTTATTCCAAGATATGCAATGTGAGCTTGTTGCCTTCCGAGAATGGTTGTTTTCGTTCTTTGGCTTGTTCTCTGGCAATGTGTCTAGTCAGCAAGCTATGGAAGCTTCCAGCCAAGAGAGGATAGAAATTCTTAGAAATTCGATCGAAACACTTCGACACGAGCTCGAGGAGGTACAGCTTCGAAATGACCGCACAGAGGATGGGGTCGTAGCTCCCTTTACTGAGACCCCCGGGACCTATGCCGCGCCGAAACACCATTGATCTTGGACAAGCAGGACTTGCGACTCTTCCCGAGGGAGCAAGCCTAGATGATGGCGAGATGCGTTTTGGTATTCCTCAGGTCTTGACAAATGAAAATCGCATGTCTCAATCACCGGGGGAGATGAGCAATGACTTCTTCTCTGAAATGGCAACTATAGGACGGACCAGCGCACCATCGCACTCGACCGTCTCGAACACTCAAAGCCTGCCAAGCAACTCACAACAAACAGAAGTGACATCAAGAGGCCGGCAGAACTCTCGTTCAAATACTCTATTCTCGCGCCCATCGTCCCCGGAGACCTCGCCCCCGACCTCGCCCCGGGTTAGGGCTTCATTGATTCACCAGAGCTCAGACATCATTACAATGCAACTAGAATTGCTCGGCAACCGAACTCGAAATGCGCGTAACCCTGCTTCTGTCTCAAGCTCACATATTCCGAGATTGGGGGCCAACAATGCTGGCCTGCGCCGCTCATCTGCTGTTGATCGTCGGTCAATTGCCGACTTTCTAGAGGCACTAATTCTCAGCCAGGCCCAGCAACAAGCGGCACAATCTCCAATTTCGGGTATCCAGGATGACATTTCAAACATCGCCGTGGAACCAAACCCTGCAACTGGACATGATGCGCCCTTGATTGAGGATGAGGTCCAAAACGCCACGGAGGAAGGTGAAGTGATAAATCTAGACCTAGATGGCCATACCGCGGTTGAAATCTCGCAACCTGCTGTCCAAAACATCCTTCCAGATGGTGTGGAAGAGCCAAGTGACGTTAGTGCTCGTCCCTTACCATCTTCAGCAGCTATAGCGACCACACAAGATCTCTCGCCCGAGGTGATAGACCAGCTCGACGCACCTGACTCTCAACCCCCAGCACCCTCTGCGTATCCATCGTCCAATGCGCACCGAGTGACTCTACTCTCTGCTCACCCTGTGGATTCACTTGCATCACACCTCGCTGCGATTCTGAGCAATCTCGTTCTTGCCCCACTCGAATCGTTGTGTCACCGTTCGCTGGCGCACTCCTATCTCGCCACACACGCCTCTTCAGGAGCTCAATTGTCCGACCTCCATCCCCTGAACCTCTGGTTCGGCGGGATCTCTTGGGTGGACATTGGTGCTTATACTGGTAGACTTATACTCATGAGGGGCATACAGGCTGCCTTGAGAGCAGGCGTATGGGGATTCCTGGTTGGCTCGACGATGAGAATTGGGAGGAAATTCTGCGGTTGGGGCACATTATGAAAAGAGCAACTTCTTTGCATAGCATTCGGGGCATTATTTTTTATAGCATTTTAATACATATCATGCCTTTTACGATTGGCTAGGTGATTGACGAAGAAAAGTGTAACGTAAATCGTCATACTGTTATTGATACACTAGACTCGCTAAAAGAGAGTCATGAGGGGGTGGGTGTCTTGCTTCTCGCGCCACCAAGACTAGGCTAGGCTAGAGAGTCACACTATGAAATTGAAATTCTTCCAATAATGCGTATCCACCAATCCAAAATATTATTTAAGCACGCCCTTTTCCTTTCTTGCCAGGAGTCTTCCTCCGCTCCCAAACCATCAAGTAACCTTCACGAGTGAACAGAGTCTCGCTCTCAGCACGCTTAGTGAACAGATCTTGAACTTCAAGCCACTCAGCGCCACGATGCTGCTGCTTCCCCTCAGTGACGCCTTGCTGGCGATTATTTTCAGCACCCATGGCCTTATCATGGAGCTGAACCAGCCAAGAGACCTTTTCACTGCCCGCTCCTGCACCTGAAGACGAACCACCTTCGCCTGATGCCGCATTGACGCCTTTCTGTGCAGAATCCTCGGTGGCTCCGGGGGCAGCAATACTGGGATCAAGAATGATGTTTGCGACAAGATCATACATGATTGGCTCTCCTGGGGGCCAAAAATCAGGGTTCGGCTCGACATAGGGCGACATGTCGAGAGAGTTTGGTGATGGGAATGTGACAATAGTGGGATTACGCTCGGAGACAAAGCGGTTTTTGCTAAAGCGCTTGATGTGGAAGAGGAGGAATGGCGGAAGAGGGTGGAGGAGGCGATGACGGACACGCTGAGAAAGTTTCTCGGAAGCCGTGAGTCCGTTATATTTGTTGAGAAGGGTTGTGAGAGGAACCTGCGGGATAATGGACTCCCTGTTGACCGATTGGAATAGAGGTGTGGGTGGCAAATCAAGCGTTAAAACAAGGAAAGGAGTGATCTTGCTGTTGATATCGCCGGATTCAGTGAAGACGAGGCGCGCGTTTTGGGTATCGGAGTGCGCGGTAATATCCTGGCTTTCAATTCGGACGCGGCCCTGGAAAGCAGCGTGAATAACACTGGTTGGATTCGGCGAGGGCTTCTTCGAGCCACCCAAAGAGAGATGAAGGGTGTTGAGGAACCACGACAAAAAATCAACAGGATCTGACTGTTCGCTGAGAGTGAAGCGTTTGGCAGACTTCATAGAAATTTCCTGCAACAGTTCATGCGGAGAAACATGAGATCGGAATGCCTTTGGATTCCATAACTTGCGCACCAGCGTACTGAAGCGAAGCACAATCTCTGGTGTTCCTGGAGTAGGGAAGTCGTGCAATAAGAAGAAATTGCGGATTGGTTGAACGTGTGCCAGAAGTTGAACTACGACATTGAGGTAGTCGTTGGCTTTAATGTTGTTCATTCCAACAAATCCTATAAAGTATCAGCCGATGAAAAATCAACATAGAGGAATGATATCTTACCTGGCCGGTATCGAGATCCTGATAAATCCCAGGCATCGATAACCTCGTTGTCGAGCTTCTTCATAACATCGGCCTTAGTGTAGTGTGGATCCACCACATATTTGATATCATCCAAGCTCTTGCTTTGCACCTCGTAGCCTTCAGGTAAGACGTAGACCTTCTTAGTGCCCATATTGATGAAGACATGGTGACCGATCTCTAGAGCGTGGAAATAGGCATGGGATTTGAGGCCTCGGCCTTGGAAGTATTTACCGCACACGAGGCATGCGTAAACATTGATGTTTGACAAACTGATAGAGCACAGTTTCTCGAAGTCGAAATCCAGGATTCCGCGGTTCACAGTGTCGAGGTAGAGATCGCCATAACCTTCTACTGGCTGAGCCTGTCGCTTCGGGGCGCTGAGGGCGGAAGCGTTTTCGTCGATGTCCGAAGACCCTAGGTCATCCTGTGCACCTTCCTGCAGCTCCTCTCCTTCTCGATCGGCTGCTGCGAGGATGTCAAAGCCATTGCGATCGTCTTGTTCTTGCTCTCGGCCACTGAGTCGTTGCGCGTGCCTCGCGCCGTTGCGAGACCCGTCCTCGGTTTCGTCCTGCACGCGCGCCTTTTTCGATGCGGGCGAGCCAACCGTGTTCTGGTCCAATGGAAGCTCTGCTGGTCTCTTCGACATTGTGATGGGGTGGTGTGGTGTGGAAGATGAATTTCAATGCTGAGGTTCTTCAGTTCCGCAAGCTCAAGACGAATGCAAACAAGTCAAACATTGACCACCACACCGCAGTGGCCGGTCACAACTCCGATGCGACGACAATTCATATTACCATACGTAGAGCTGGTATTTCGATGTTCAAGAAGTAGCATGTCTTTCTGGGTGCTCTGCATTAAAGAGGTTTACGTGGGGTTTATCATCTAGGTTCATGTTACGCTTCATCTCGAGTTTCATCCCGTAATCAATGTTAAAACGTCATAGGATATGATACAACAAACACCCCGGCATGTCGACCATTAAGCACTGCGCACAACTCTATCATTATCGAAATCCATCACCTTGACTCCGTCCTTGGTGATAACCTTCACCAACACCTAGATATATGAGTCAGTAGAGTCCTATACTGGGGAATTGATGAGTCAAACATACTCCCTTGTAGTCAATCGGTAGTCGGCGCTTGAGCTCATCTGTGCACCTTTCAAGGAGCTTCATTCCTTCCTCCAGAGAAATGTTCGGGTTGTGATGTTTGTCGAGTAGGGAAAGGCAGTAGTATCTAATTGGGTTAACCTAAATCGTCGCCCGATGGTCATCCTTTATCCTTTGAAACATACTGGGCATAGCCGTGGGCGGCATATGGTACGGGAGCCAACGAGGCCAAATAATCAATCCAGTACAAGCTTGGCTCCTGGGTCACCGGGTCTACTCCTCCAAGTAGGAGGTTGACTGTGTAAGGGCTTCGTGACCGCAAGCTGCGTGCCAACTCTCCTCGGACAAAGCTAGAAACGGCGGCAGGGCTGAGTTCGGTGTCATTGCGCATCGTGTACAGAGAGACATTTGCTTGGACGTATTCGGCGAATTGCACTGGAAGGAGACCATTCGTTAGCATTGGTGGTGTCGAGTTGCGGATCATCAGCTACTGACCGGTATCTCCAGCCTCTCCCGAGAAGGCCATGAGAGTGTGCTTGTTGAGTTGCCGTGTCTTGTCATCCTCCGCCTTAATAATAGTCGGACCTCGCATAATGGCCTTTGATGCGGCAATAATGACAAAGTCCTTGCCAGTGATACCTAAGAGAACCTCCCTAGCAAGCGTGGTCTGTCAGAGATGGCGTGGATATCTTGGGCGGAACACAAGCGGCGAACTTACATGTCTGCGGTTTGGTAAAATCAAAGAAAACGAAGAGAGATGAGGTTCAAAAAGCAGCGATGAAGAGAAGAGTGGTTGGATGATGACCGCGCGGCGAGCTTGACGCCTTGGAGCTCTCAGAGAGAGCAGCTACCCTGATGACTAAGCCGCCGCTTAGAGCGCTTTTTTTCCCCGAAAAAAAAAGTTGATCCCGCGCAACAGACTCGACCGCTCCAAATTCATTTCCAGCCCGGGGTTTTGAGCCCGCGAATTTCTACTGCCGAAGTGAAATTCAGCCTCTGAAGATCGCCATGTCTTCGTTTTTCACCGTGCCCGCTTCCCAACGCAAGCGCAAGAGAGACGACCGCAACACGGCCCCGACAACTAAGAAACGAGGTGTCGATGCAAAGAACGACGCAGGAAGTCGGCGCGCTCAGGAGCGGGAAGAATCTATCTCAGGAAGTGATTTGGATGAGGATGATAATGGCATTGTGTCTGGAGGATCCGGGGAGGACTCCGAGTCCGACTCCGATGATGGTGAAACGGCAGGAGATCGAAGATTGAAACTCGCAGAACGCTACCTGGATAACATCAGGGAGGAGGTCGATGAAGTCGGATTCGATGCGGCAGAGATCGATAAGGATTTGATCGCTGAGCGATTGAAGCAGGATGTGGTACGTGGATATCACTTTCACTTATCATTTGGTCCACGAATACTAAAAATGATTACAGGACGAATTCAAGGGTCGTACATTTCGCCGAATCGCTTCCAAACTTTCATTCCCCGATGCAGCGCATTCTTTCTTCCGCTCAGATACCCAGACCAGTACTTCTATTGCCGTTCACGCACCCTTCGTCTACATCGTCAGCAAAGATAAGACTCTCACGAAATGGGAATTGGCGACTCCTAATGACCCGAATGCTGCTGCATCCAATGAAAACCCCAAAAGGCCTCCGCGTCCTCAGCGCAAAAAGCCAAAGCGTGTGAGCTATGCTCGAGGCCTACGTAAAGTTGGCGAAACCGGCGAGGAACAGGGCCACACAGCAAGCATCCTTTCTGTTGCCGTATCTCCCTCTGGACGATTTGTTGCAACTGGTGGAGCTGATAACAAGCTCATTATCTGGAACGCCGATACTTTGACGCCTGCCAGAACATTTACTCAACATCGTGATTCCGTTAGCTCTCTGTCATTTGCCCGTCACATCTCAACTATGAGCTCTGGAGAGCAGCTTTTCTCCGGCTCATACGACCGAACGATAAAGACATGGTCCATTAGCGGAGCTGGTCATGCTTATGTTGAAACCTTGTTCGGACATCAGTCAGGCATTGAACAGATTGCAGCCATGACCATTGATGAGTGTGTCTCTGTCGGCGGACAGGACCGCACGTCACGCCTGTGGAAGGTCGTCGACGAAACACAGCTTGTGTTCCGTGGCGGAGCTTCTAAAAAGGCTCCCTACCACGAAACTCATCTTGACTGCATTGCTCCTCTCCCGCCTACTCACTTTGTCACTGGCTCCAACTCAGGCAGCATCTCACTGTGGTCGGTCCACAAGAAGAAGCCGCTCTACACAATTCCCCTTGCACATGGACTAGATTGCATCCCTCCATTGGATGAGCTATCGCCCGAAGCCAACTTGGAAACCGCCGCGCACAACGCACGACACATGCGCCCGATGCCCCGCTG